GTATGGTTTAGTTTTTGTTTTACCTGAATAGTAATTTATTTTGGAGTTGTATTTATGTAAAACTGATAATAAAGAAAAATATATATATTTTTTAAATAAATACATACACCTTCATATTCAAGTAGAGCAGTCTCTCTAAGTTCCTGATTTTATTCTGGAAAAATGATCCTATAACCAAAAATTTTTATGTCTGTGGCATTGGAAACTATGGTAGGCTATATTAATAGTTCCCAGAGTCACTCAGGGTGCATTATAGCTATTGCTATTCCCAGTTCCGTCAGCCGTGTAATTAGCAGAATCAACTATATACATTCTCTTAACAGGCGGTTTCGAGGTCACGATATTTCAATCTGTGCTAATTTACCGTTAAAGACTTACGAAAAAAATGTCCTTGCCTCCACTTTTCAATGTCAAAGAGGGTGTCCAGAGAGGGTGTAATCATGAACATTTGCGTGCAAAAACGTGTAATTTGACAGTTGGCGGCATGTAATTTGACCGATGTCTGTTGGCAACACTGAGTACAGAGTATGAGAAATAAGGTGACAAGTGTCATCAAGTTGATATTAATATTTTATTTTCACTAGGTAGATCAAAACCTAGAATCTAGGCCTTTTGCAAAGTAGACAGTGATGGACTGAAAAATGCCTATTAGCGTTTTTCTTTATTATGTAGCGGTATCTACATAAGCCACATTTATTTTAAACAAACGTTTTGGAAACAGCTGTTGACTAAATACCATTTTTCTACAGTCCTAAATATGGGTTCTAATGAAGACATAATAAAATCCATAAAAAGTTACCAGGAACGCTTGGAACGTTATGCTTCAAACAAAAATGAGGATAAGGTTAGACTGAAGGGTGCCTAATAAATTTAAATAATTACAATTAGATTCTTGTATATTGCAGATGTTATATGTGGTAAGAAAACTTGATAAACTTCCAATAAATACTGCTCATTTAGAGAATACTGGTGTTGGCAGAACAGTTAATGCATTGAAAAAGCATGGAGGAAAAATAGGAGAAGCTGCTAAAGAGCTTGTTGTTTCATGGAAAGATATGGTAATGAGAGAAGAACAGGCCAGCCAAGAAAATATCAGAGATGGTGAGTTTTTCTTGAATAGTATAAATCTCCACATTTAATCTTAATATTTTTCGATTTTCACAATATGGTTAATTTATCATTGAGATTATCACTAACAGCAATCAGTTCCTTACCAACTTGAACTAAGTATTTACTTAATGACTATAAATTCCAACAAAATGAAAACACCCTTCAAATTCAATCCTCACCATTGGGATCTCGGAAACTATGAGAGATACGAAGATGGTTAAATTGGGGCAAAGGTGCGCATTTACCTGACTAACAATATGCCGTTGAGAAAGAATTCCGAGTATTTCCGGAGATATCCGAAAAAACAGAAATTTCGGAAAATGGTTTTTATTTTTTTCTGGCTTCATTTTTCGAAGGATTCGAAAAGGTACACAAATTGATAATATTTTCAGTGAATGTTATCAATGAGAGCTTGTCATCAGGGGTTTTCCTGATGACCTAAAAACTGCCAAAGTTGTGCCTGTCTTCAAAAAAGGTTGTAGAGATGATAAATAATTATAGGCCAATATCACTTCTTCCGTCACCTTCTAAGATCTTTGAACTGCAAATCGATTCCAATATCAGATCATATAAAATTCCTGGGCGTTATACTAGCTCAGTTGGGATTCACACATAAACATCTTGAATAGTAGGCTGAACTCCATCTGTGAAGTTATACAATATCTACAGGACCAAGTATCAGTCAGCTGTTTACAAACATATTACTATGCTCATGTTCATGGGATTATATTTTGGGGCTCTTCATCAAGCTCACAAAGAATATTCATAACACAAAAGAAAATTATGAGATGTATACTAGGATTGAGTCGTAAAACTTCATGTGGGACATCCTTTTCTGAACTAGACATCTTGACAATCCCTTCATTGTGTTACCTGGGCTTTGTCAATTTTGTAAAGAAATATCCCCATCTGTTCCCTACAAATGCTGATCAATATGAACCTCCACACTAGACATCGAAATGAGCTATCTGTCCCTTACCATAAATCAACTTATTATGAGAAAGGCACACACTACCAAGCAATCAAAGCATACACCTCAAGTACTGAAAGATATCAAAGGCCTGAAGAGGTTCAGGAGTTCTGTCATAAGTTACTTGAAGCAGAAACGCTATTATTCTTTTAATTGTTGGATGTAATAACCTGTATTAGTTTTAGATACTCTTTCAACTGTGCTTCTCAGATTTTTAAATTCAGCTGTATACTTAAATTCTTGTCTTTGTATTAGAATACTGTTTTAACATTTGTACTGTACCTCAATATTTAAATATTTTCATCCCCCCTATTTATAAACATTGTAAATACATTTAAACTTGCTTTTTTAAACCTGTACCTGACGTTTGCTGTGTCCGGTGATGATCGTTTTGCAATAAAAGTATTACTATTATTATTATTAAAATGGGGAGTGTTCCTCTTGGCGAAAATCAAGTAGTTTTCATAAAAGAGCTCTAAAACAACGTATTTTAAACTTATCATTTCAACCTTTTTCTTTAAAAAATTATTTAAATACTTAAAAAAGAGGAATGAAATAATGCATTCAACATTTAAAGGGATTCGTTTCTATTTCACCATTTGGCAACATCGGTTATAGCTAATAAAGGACAATGAATCTGTTACCTGTGTGAGACTAACATAGATGACATATTTCAGAGGTTTATTTAACCACATTATGGGAAAGAAATACATTTGTGTTAGAGCTATACAAACATATGATAAACCAAAAAACATTTCAAATAAATTATAAGTAAAATAAAAAAGACACAACTATCACCTGTTTTGACGCAAATGTATATGAGATACAAACGTGATGTAAATAATATGGTAATTGAAATTTAAAAAAATAATATGGTAATTAAAGGCCACAATTGAAGTGATTCAGATTCAACCATGTGAGTTGGTGTGGCCAGGTACTTGTTGACACTAAAAAAATATTGTGTTAAGAAATTTTTGGTAAACCTCTTGAAACTACATATAGGTAGATCTTTAACAATAGGTGGCAATATATTATAAATATTAACATTGAGTGTATTGATTGAGGATTTGGGTAGTTTCAGCCTGGTCTTGAGAGATTAGCACCTCTATTGTTATGTTAACGAATATTTAATGATATTCTCATCATCATATGAGTTATATTGCGCTCACTATCCGAATCTATACTTGGTACATTAGATGAAATGTACTGTGCCTGATGGTCGAGCAGACGGGTTTCAATAACCAGTCTCAAGTTAGTCATTGTAAATATTAGTTAAGATTTTGTCTATGCAAGTTTTATTTCCATTTTCAGCACTTATTTGAGTGTAATTGTTAATAATTACCTCAAAACCAGAAGATAGTGAGGTAGATTAATGCGCTCTAAGTTTTAAAGTTAACAATGACGCCACCAACAATAATTCTGCTTTGATATTCAAACAAACGGAATCAAGGACTTTTAGTTTATAAAAAAACAAGTTTGTCGCCATTTACTACAGTGCTATAAATTGCTATAGGAGTTGAGCTGTTTTGGCTGGTATCCCAAAACTCATGTAGCATCCTTTGCATTCTACCATAAATAACAGGAGTTTGAAATATTAATGAGCAATTTGGTATTCAGATCAGATTTTGGACAGTCTGTTAAATTGACGACAAAGAATAATGAAGTTAAATTGGACAGAAGCTACATCACATCCCTGATACACCAGCAAAATTATTATTATTTATTATTATTTCATGGTCTATATGTGGATCCTACAGATATTGTACAATCTTTCTTTAAGTAATTCATTATAACATATACTCATCTTTAATTATTCAATTGATCAAATTGTAATTTTTTAAACCTCTGTTCAAATATAAGACGGCCACTACGAATCTCATTACATCTTGCATAGGTAGATGGTATTTTGTAGTTTCCAAAAAAGGCGTTAATAGATTTCAAATATTTCTCAGTTTTCCAATGGTCTGATATCCATAAACAAACAGTTCAAAACCTTGAACATTTATATGACAAATAATAGTCATATTCATTGTTTCAATCCTAGACATTTATTTCATGTCGTCCAACTGATTTTTGAATGGAGTTAATTTTTTAGTCATTCTAGTTCTCACATTTTGTGTAATAATTTGAAAGCTAGAGAATTCAACCTAACTAGAGTTTTAACATAATGTTAGCTATTACTTATAACAAAACCTAATCTGTTTTTGTTTTGTTGTAGAACATGAGGAGGAAGATGTAGATTCTGTATACTCAAGCGACCATGAAACAGATAATTTCATTATAGAGGAAAATGGTAGTCCTAGAAATGATCGTTCAAATTCTTATCCTGAAAATTATTATTGTAATGATTATGGCGAAGATCATGTGAATAGTATTAATAAAAAATATGAAAATGAGGTTGCAAAAAAAAAAAAGTCGGAAATCAAACAAGGATACTCTGCAAACATTCCGGAAGAACAGAAAAAATCGGCTAAAAAAAGAGAGCATACAGCTGATTGTGATGACGAAAAACATAAGGCAAAAAAATCCAAGAGATACCATGAGTCTAGAAGTACAAACACCAATGATAAGTATGATGATAAATTAGACATACATGAATCAAAAAAAAAAGTTAAAGACTCTAAAAGTAGAGACACTTCTTCCAAATCTAAATCAGAAAAACAAGAAAGAGAAGACAATGAGTCAGGAAAATCTCACCATCATTCAGATAAGCAAGATTCACATACATCAAAATCACATTCAAGTTCAGAAAAGTACAACAAACATAGAGAAAGAGAAGAACCTGATGATAAAAAATGTAACTCAAAAAAAATTGAGAAAAAGCACAAATCACATCATGAAAAGCATAATGTCGCTAAAAAGGCAAGTAACTATGAAGACTATTATTCTGATTCAAAATCTATAGAAAGTAAAGAAAAGAGCAAAAAACACCATACAAAAAGTAAAGAACTGAAGTCCGTTAATAAGGATAAAATACTTAATGGTATAGATTCGGAATCTGGTGCAAGTTTTGCAGAAGCTTTGGGAATGTGTGGGCCTAAAACCATCCCTAGCATTAAGAAAAAGTCTTCATCTTCTATAAGCTCAGATAAACACCGAAACAGTTCAAATTTAGAACCAGAAACATCTGCAGGGAGTTCCAGTGCATATAAGTGTAGTATTTCAAAATCAGTTCCTGTAGATCAAGAAACGGTAAGTTTTTGACAATTTTTAAACATCATTTGGTACTAAGAGACAATTGGATACTTTTCATAGGTATATTAACAAAATTCATGAAAATATTAAATTCATTATTGAAGTAGAAGCAGACAACTCAATCAATTTCTTGGACTTAACAATTAGTAGAATGAACAACAAACATGATTTTTCAATTTATCACAAACCGTCCTAAACGGATATAATTACATACATACATTACGATTCTATCCATCCATATCAATACAAAGTAGCAGGATGCAGCAGGATTCACAGATTAGTTAATGTTCCTATTCAACGAAAGTCATTTTTTGTGGAGGAAAAAATCAGTTTTTTATCGACCTCCTTTGGGTATTTTCACCTTCCA